ATTAAGCTAAGGCCCGGTTTTACCAAACGTCGCTTAACTTTAATCTTAGTTCAATTCACTGTCTGTCTTCATTCATTTGTCTCTTTCTAAAGTAACGGTTGGAAAGAGATGAAGAACGAATTAAGCTTAAAGTTAAACAACGTTGGTGAAACCGGGCCTAAATGCAAAGTGAAGCTTATTAAACAAAGGGAAAATTTTTTTACAAAACGCCACCTAAAGACACACATTAAGGAACACAAAAATAACATTGAAAAACACGAGAGCAACCATTCCGTGATTAGCAAGCACCGCTTAAACAATGACCACGAGTTTCAGTGGCCTGCACCGAAAATTCTGCATTGTGAACGCTCCGTAAGAAAACGCGAAATAGCTGAAATGTTCTTTGTGAAAAAACATAACAATACGTTAAACCTAAGAAGAACACTGAAAATTTAAACCAAACTTATGATAGGATTCTAAACTCTGTTTATTAACTCGCCTTTTCACCTTGTACAACGTTACTTGCTAAATCAGTTTTATTCGAGAACCGCTGACAAACGGCTGCTCGTTGAAAAGTTTGGATATTGACATCTCTATTAAAAATCCACTGACTACCGAGACACGTGAGTCCATGAGCCCGTGCCTTCTTTTTCACTCTTGCACTTAACTTATTAATTAATTAACTTATTTCTCTAAATTAATAGCTGCAAATGGGCTCCGATAAAAAACTAATTAAAGTTAAAATAATATACGATGGTCGTTAACATGGTAAAAGAAAACTAAAGAGGAACAAAGAATCTGGTGACGGCTCACATTGCCCACTGTTTGTCTTTCTTTATCCCTCTTTAATTTTCTTTTACCGTCCTAACGACCATCATATATTATTTAATTTTAATTAGTTATTTCTCCAACTTAGTATCTTACTTTTTATCCATGTTTTTCTACTGTTTTTTTTTACTCTTACACTTAACTCATTACTTAATTAATTAATTTTTCTAACTTATTATCTTGCTATTTATTTATCTTTACCCGTAATAATTTCAGATATGATATTATGAATTTGCTGCCACAGACTCGTGAACGCATTGTTTCGGCATAGATTAAATGTTTTTCAGTCAACATTAGGTATTTTCCTTCTTTGTAGATACATAAAGTTCTTTTCTTTGTATTGCGGCTTAAGCATTTGCAATTCGTTTCCAGGCTGTACTTGGAAAAGGACCCCCGCTAAGGAGAGAAAAATTTTCGCTTTTCTAAACGCGAAGCTCTCTTCGACGAGAATAATCAGGATTCCGTTGCGACGTGAAAGCAGATACGCGCTGCGAAATCACGACGCAGTGAATACGCTAATTGTCCCGCAAATCTAAAGATGCTGTAAATTTCCTAGGTCGAGAAAGGTGTTTACTAACAGTCCGGAAGAAAGCGGGGGGCTCTTCCCTACAAGTTTCCAGGTAAAGCTCCCGCGAGCCGTAATTATTACGCCACGTCAATCTCGGAACTAGTTTCCGACTTTTTCCAATTTGGCGAGCGAGATCGAAGCGATCTGCTGCTACTGATCGTAACGGCGAGGTCCGGTCCCGAACGTTTACTAGAGCAGGCCTCGTTCGCGGACGCAACGTAACGGCACCTGCCCGTCTCGCATCGCGCAATCCTCGAAAAATCCTTCGGCTTTCGCCGGCCGTCTCCATTTCGGCGACGTCTAAATAGACGTCATAGCCCAGTCATTTACGCGCTTTGTGTGGAGACCGTGCAAAACGCGCGGGGCGAAGGAAGCGATCGCTCGACGTCGCCGACACGACTCGAGCGGCCAACAAAGCTCGAACTTAACAGCAATCCGGGCGTCAAAGGCCGATTCGAGATCCGCAATTCCGGCGATTGACCCGGGCAACTGCCTATTCAGCGGACTCGAGGCTCGCGTGTTGCGCGCGGACAACGAAAGCGGACGGCGCGGCGGAATGTACAATCGGCGTGATTTATGAGTATCGCCGGGCTTATTGCCGCGCGCAAAATGGTTTTGTTACCGGATGGTTGAGCAATGGCGCGGATAATCCGGGCAAATGCGCGGCGCTCGTCACCGCCATTATATATCGCCGCCCTGAAAAGTAAGCAAAATCGGACGGTGCCGATTGCCCGGCAGAAGTGAAAGGGACCCGGCGACGTCACGCGCGCTCACATTGTACGCCCGCTCCGAAGTTACGTGTCCTCGCGCGAGGACAGTCAGTCGCGCGTGCAGCACCCTCGAATAAAATGAGCGACGACCAGCTAACGCCAGACACGAAGCGGCGGTCTAATTGCGAGATCGTTAATCGTACGAACCGGCCGCGACTTCCTCCTTTCCAGCGGCGGTGCCCCGCCGTATCGCCACCGCTTGGAAACGGCTCCACCTTCCCCGACGAAACGTCCTTGGGGGGCCCCGGTGCACCGGGAGAGGGTGATGAAAATCCGCCAGTCACGTGTACCATGCCGGTTCGAGCGGTCGTACCGCGGTTCCGTCCGAGTCCGACGCGTTTCACTCACCGCAGCCTCCGCCGAAAGCGCACTCGCGGCCTGTGAACCCGGGCGAGCACACGACGCGTGCACCTCGGAAAATGCTGATCGCGGGACACGCGCTTCAACGTGGGAAAATCAGCCGACGTGACTTATCCGCGCGACGCAGCCAACGTGCGTAGCCCGAGCGCGATCGAGAACCGGTCCCGCTGGCGAATCGAGACGCGATTTTCCTTGCGCGAGTAGACCATCAATCGTTCACGGTGTTGCGGGCGCAGTGTCGGTTAAATGTCGGGGAAGTGAGTATGCTAAGTCGCTAAGCCCGAGTCGAGAGGCGCACAATGGAGGTATTCGCGGCCAGTCCGGCTTATCGAGGCGCGACGGAGAGCGCGAGGATGTTTCCAGGAAGGAAACGCATGAATCGCGACTTACGCGCGCGCGTCGCGCTCAATGGGATCGCTCGGCGCACGATACTCTCCTAATTCAAGATACCCGACTGCCGGAGCGAGACTCGCGAGTGCCCGGTCGAGAACTGACGATGATTCTTGCGGGATAGTCGGCGATTGCAAGACTCGTTGGCAAATTTCCGGAGTATTGTGATACCGCGTTACAATATCCACGATGTACCCCGCGATGAGTCACGCGGTGATATCGGCGAGGACATATCGGCGGCTCTGACCACGTGCATCGGTGCCATCGAGTGCGTTGTTACGTGTTTCATTGATTCCTCTCGCGCGCGGATCAACGTCGGGGCGCGCGGTGCCTCCCGTCACGTAGCACGCGTGGATTAAGTGGTTACTCGGCGCGGAGAAATCTCGAGCGCACGCACGTAAGGCGGTTTACGTCTCTATATCGTCGGATACCTGGTCAACTTGCGGGTTCCCCGAGGAAGCGCGTTATCGCATGCGGCGGTGCAATTACGGCAATTGAGCGACGCACCAGAAATCCCGCGGCTTGTCGCGAACGTTCGCCGTACCGTTCCGGATGTACGGAGAAAGGTACCGCTCCGATATATCCCGCAATTTGAAATTGCCGGGAAAACCGATCGCGGATATGTTATTTTAAAAATCACCGGGAGGAATCGCGAGGACTGAAATAAAAATTAAAAAAACAGACCGATCGTCGAGCTCAAACTCGCGGTCGATCGACGCACAATTATGCAATTTGTAATTTCATTACGAGTTACACGATATTTCGACTCAAATCACAGATTGCTTGCATAATGTTATTTATATAACGACTTTCTATTTATAGCGATCGCGAGGCGTGCAATTAAGATTGTCAAAATAAGTGTAGGACGCATCCTTGGGTCGCGGATAAGCGAATCGAAGGAAGCCAGGGGTACTTTTCAGGGGGGGAAAAAAAAAGTACAAGGAGATAGTCGCCAAGTGCGACGTCCGCGGGCCTGTCGGAAGCGCATTATCGTGTTGCTCGCGCTGGCGTTACTTCCGCAAACTTGCACGGGCCCGCGGCGTTGCGGCAACGCACGCTCTCGTGTTCGACGTTAATGCAGTCGGCGTGCGCCTACAGGAAACCTACCTACGCCGCTCTCGGCACCGGTTCGTTACTCAGTCGCGAGTCATTACGGAGTCGGCTGGTACTCCAGTGACCCGTGAATGTTTGTCGAACGTTCACCGGTCTGTTCGCCAGGGAAAGGCGTGGCAGACCCCCTCGGTATCGCATTCTCGTATCACCGCAATACCCGAGTGCTGGAATTAACGAATTCTCTCCGAATGTACGCGAGCATAGGTCTCGGGAGAGATCAGCCGCCGATACGTACCGAGATTGGCGCGATTCGCGAAAATTGCCTCTCGCGTCTCACGGTACTCCCGCTCGGAAATCTGAAAAAGTCACCCCGGGAGATAGCGTTGCCCGTGATATTTTCACTTTTACGGTCGCCCTTTTTAATACTCTCGTCTAATACTCTCTCTCTCTCTCTCTCTTTCTCTTTCTCCAGCTGCGGCTGTTTCAAAACGTTGCAAATGTTTCAGAGATTTACAGCGGCGCAGTTCGTAAAATAGTAATAGGAGCAAGAACCATTAGTAGCGTATCTCTGTTACCGCAAGACTAAATTGCAGGGCAGCGGCGGCCTGGCTGAGATGCGAATAAACATACGCTTTGTTCGTGACTTAGTACTTTTAATTGGCACCGTTGCGCAATTAGATCCTTGACATACGCTGGAAAACCGCGTGCTACGTCTATGAATGTAATTCCGGTCATTGTGAATAATAAACTGTTTTATAGGCTGCGCAACGCGTCTTTTACTGACCTATTAAACGCAGAAATCATTTCGCGCAGAAGAATAAACCGTGCGATTTAATTATCATATCTGACTCCTGCAGAAAAATGCGTATCAAGGTTGACGCTAGTTTACACCTCTCCGTTAAATTGTCTTTCTCTCTCTCCCTCGTGCGCGCGCGCGCGCGCGCGGAATGAAAATAACTATTCTCTGAACGCGAGATAACAATACCATTTTCTGCTGCCGGAAATATATACGAGCCGAGGGTATAAATAACACGAGTGTCTTCTATTTTCAGATGACGCATCTCGCATTATCTTTGCGAAGGCTGTCACTGGCTCTGATACTGATAGCGACATGCGCGACCATAACGGAATCGTCAATGATTAGGGAAAGGAGGCACATCGGTATCGAAGAATCTAGTCATCGATCGGGCAAGGAACACGAGTCCGACGCGAATTGGAGCACGAGATTGCCGAGCAGCACGACCGCCAACAAGATCACCGCGGAACCCGGAAGAAAAGTGTCTCACCATCTGATCGGGGGTCACCTGAGAGTCGACAAGAAGCACCGTGAGGACGGCGAGTCGCTGTGGGACGATGGAATTCTCATGTCGGCAGCCGGCAACGGCAAGGAGGGGAAAAGTAACCGCGGCAGCGGCGACAGTGGCGGTGGCGACGACGAGGACGGGAAAAAAACGCTCTCTCAGCAGGTCAAGGAGGGCAAGTACGGCCTCATACAGAACGAGATTTACGGCGAGCGCCCGAAACGGCCCGGCATCATCAGCTACCTCGGCAACCCCGAAGTGCCCAAGGACACGATCGACAATCTGGGCGGTCTCGACGAGGACGAGATCTGGCTGGCCGAGAACCACGTGCTGGTGCTGAGGGGTGGGAAATTTCCTGAGCACGAACAGGACGGCGAGCAGCAGAGCGGCGACAGCGAGCAGCCGAGGTGGCCGCCCATCGACGATTACAAGGCACCGAAACGGCAGGTCAAGATACCAGCGCGGCCGAAGATACCGCCACCCTTTCCGGTACAGCTCACAGAGGGGGGGCCGGTACAGATCATCGGCCCGAACGGCACCGCGGAGGAGATTGGCAACGACACCCTCGGCTACACGAATCCTTTCTACACGAAGGGGTTACCAGGGGAGGACCCGTTCTTCGCAATCTCTCCGAACGGCACGGTATTCACCCCGGACTTCGGTCCCCCGGGGAACTTCTCCGTCGAGGAGAAATCGTCCAGGGGTAACAATGATCGGAAGGGAGTAAGACCGGAGTTCCCGCAGCCGCCTGGTCCACTTCCGCCTTTCTATCACGCCATACCGCCCGGCGCGATCTTCGTGCCACCACCGGGCAATCAGTCGGATTACGACGAGGAGGATCAGTCCATCTACTATCCGCCGCCGTACAGTTTCCACTATCCGCAAGATAATACGACCGCTGTGCCGCCGGGCCCCCTGGTGCCCGGCATTATACTGCCCCCGCCGCCGGACTTCTTCTCGGCTTTGGACGACAAGAAAACTACCACCAAGAAGTACACGAAGCGACCGACGACCACATCCTCGCCGGACACGCGAGCAACGTATCTGCCGCCGAGGAAACTCACGACTAAGCAGAGCAAGGCCGCGTCCGCCCCGCCGAGTTTGGTGACCAAGACGAGCACCACTTCATCGACCTCCACGAAGATATCCTTCGGTCGCACGACGACGAAGAACACGACGGACGTCTTCAGGCCTAAGCAGAAGACCGTGCCTGGCGCGGGGGTCACCACGTCGACGTCCGGGAAACCGCACACGCTCGAGAACACCGAGATATACACCATCAGCCCCGTGATCGGGAATCAGGTGTCCGAGGCGACCCAGCAGAAGGACTGGTCCACTGTGGTGTCGAGCAAAATGATCCCGGTCCTCGCGTTAATACGTCCGTCGACCACGCAGTCGTCGCTGGAGCGACCGGTGGAGGTCACGCCGGCCTCCATAAAGAGTATCATCACCACTAGTCAGCCCGGCCGGTCTCCCAATCACGCGTCCTATTACTTCTACGAGGAGTCGACCGACGAGAATTCGGACGTCACGGCGAAACCGTCGCCCGTTTACTACGAGAGTACCACGAAGTCGCCGTACTACAACGTCGAGACGTCGGGACCCCGGCAGACCGAGAAGAAGCACTATTACGCCGTCGAGACGATCCCGCCGGTCGACACCCCGAAGGACTACAAGGTGAAGCTCATCGACAGCATCGTCAAGAACTCGCAGACGTTCCAGTACGCCGACGACTCGGAGACGACGCCCGCGAAATTCGACGCCAGCTCGTCCCGGGATCAGGGCCAGCGTATGCTAGCCGACCAGCCGCCCGTTTACTACCAGCCTGTTCCCGCGCGTCCGCTGCAGACGTACTACACGACTCCAAAACCCCAAACGTATTATCGACAGACCACGAAGCCGAAGCCGATCTATCAGTACAGCTTCCAGGTGGCGGATTACTCGAAACTGGGCAATCAGAGATCGCCGTATCGTGGGGAGCAACAGCAGCAGCAGCAGCAGCAGCATCAGGACACGTCGATATACAGCGAGTACCAGGACGCCAAGTCCGGCAATCGGCATTACGACTACGAAGACATCGATTCCCCGTCGCTGCACCACTCGTCGCAGAAACAAGTTTCGTACAAGACGCAACATCCGGCATATTCCACGAGCACCGCCTACCCGATCGTAAGCACGACACCCAATCCGCAATACGCGTACTTCACGCAGCAGGACGAGAAGCTGCTGGACGACGTTACGAAAGAGTATTTCACCATCTTCGGCAAGAAGCTACCGGACGCGGGGATACCGAGCACGACGCCGATCTACGGCAAGTCGAGCAGCGTCACGGAGAAGCCGGATCACCACGTCAACGCCTACGTGTCGAATGTCTACAAGACCGGTCGACCGGCGACTTACAAAACGCCCAACGTCAAGGTGCGCTACGGGGACCAGCGGCCCTACTCCCTCAAGGACGACACCCTCGTCAACTACCGGCGACCCTTACCGCCGATCAATCCGGACAGCGAGTTCATCGAGATAATTGATCCGAAGCCCCGACCGAAGCAGCCGTCGCCGTTGCCGAACTACGAGCTGCAGACGGGAAACTACCGATTGCAAAATCAGGGAGTTCAGCAGCAGGGGCCGACCCCTCGTTACAGGTTGCGAGGCGCGGTACAGCCGGCCAACAGACAGCACACCAACAACTTCGTACCTTTCTCCGAGTCCCGAGAGGAGCTGGAGAACGTTCGGGAGCCCGTGTCGCTGCTGGGCGACATAGAGGTCAACTACAGGGATCCGCGTCCCCCCATAAACCCCGACGCCGAATTCATCGATCCCGTCACGGTGCAGGACGGACACTCGGACAATCCGAACGCGTACTTCGCGTACCGGCTGCCCGGCGACGTCGGCCACTTTTACTTCCTGACGCCGCAGGCGATCACGCAACGGCAGGATCAGAACGGTGGATACGTCTATCCGAAGCCCAGGGGACCGAGATTACGGAGACGGCCAGGGTAACGTCTGAGTTGCGCGTTATTCAACGGCAGTCGCGCGCAATGCCATAATCTCCGCGAGTATCCAGCGCGCGGAGTGCGATCGCGCGTAGCCCGTGCCGGCCGCACGCACGCACACGTACGCGTATTATTAATATATTTATTGTACTTGTAAATACGAATTGCCTAAGTTAGATAATTATAGCCACGTTGTTGTACGATAAACGCTTAATTTATTATGCAACCTGACTCCCCCGTCTCACAGTAATGGATACGCGATCGTGTTCATGTATGCGATCTGTAATATGCGCCTCGTCATCGCATACCTGCGCATTATCTGTGATTGATGGAATTACACGTGTACATATACGTAATTATTATTATCTATTTCATGTACGCGCTCTGGCAGATTGCGACGTTGTATTGCGAATCCTGTATCCCCCTCCCCAAGTTTTCCTCTACACGCGAAATAAAGTTGAATAAAAAGCAAATGTAAAGTACCAATTGACACGAATCCGCTGTAATCTGACCTTTGGAGAATTTTCCATGCGGATCAGTGTCGCAACCTTCTTTAAACCTGCCAACTACTTGTATCTCTTTCCCATCAAGTATAGTATTGATATCGCTTATAATTTTCCATACGAAATATTTTTTAAATAATATTACACATCTGGCATACAACTATGCCAACAAAGACCACGTTGTGCAGTCAATATAAAATTGTAATATCAAATATCAAATTTTATACGTGCACACATCTCTAAATAAATCTTGATGTTTGAACAGCCAGCGATTTACAACATACATCCGTAGTTCCACACTTCCTATTAAACTCGAGTGACAAAGACTGCACGGCACTTAATTTGATTCGTGTGGAAAATTTTATATAAAAATATCCTACGCATGGCTGTTCAAAAAGATCGTTCTGAAATAATGGCACTCACCAGTGTCGATTTCTTGCGTTTGCGCTGGATCTGGTAAAGGATAATCGTGTAGCCGCAGGTAGACCTCCATTGCACATTTCGCTGCTTTGAAGTAGAACGGATGAGCCCGGAGAACGTCTTCTAGCCTCAGCAGACCCACGTAAGATCGCAACGTCATCTTCCGCATGCAGTATGTATGAAAGTCAAATTGGTCCTCTATGATTTCCGAAAAATGCTGCAAATAGTCAGTGGTGTTAAAATTCTCATTCTCTTGACTAGGTCCCGAGCGCACGGTATATACCATTCACCACTCACCCTATCGACCTCGTGGCATTTTTTCAACGCCTCCCCGTACTTCCCGAGACGTTTGTACGCGTTCGCCGCTTCCGTTTGAATCCACATGCATTGCATCTCATTCAGGTTTTCCATAGCCAAGACCCCCTCCCTCGTGAATTTCCCGCACGTCTCCTCCGCTTCTTTAATAAGATTTGCGCGAAGCATGTATTTGGCACATTTAGAGTTAATATATCGGTCAGCTGTGTCCAACCCCTGCGCCTCGTCCAGCCACTTATAAGCTTCTTGAACATTCCCAGCGTGCTGTGGACATACGAATATCTCTTTAGGCTATATACTTCCCGCACTGTTCCTTACAATAAGTTTACGTATTACGATTATGTGACAATGGTCTTGGTGCTATAGCAGTTGCCTACCAAACAAAAAATCCAGGTTCAATTCCCTGTGTATGTGATTTTTCTCACCTCGTATATTTACAACACTAAATATTTAGAAAGGAAAAACGTACACTTTGGTAGAAACCAGGTGTCCGAAACATGAATTTAATTTCAAGGTTATTACGAATAAGTAAACTATTGAGGAACAGCGACTCTTGAATAATAACTAAGTTTTATAAGCTACTTCAGCTCTACAATACAAGAAGCTAATTTATATGAAATTTCTTCCCATATAAATGGAACTTGTAGTAAAACTAGAGAATGGTTCTTTACGATTTGGAATGCCGTCTTACATAATTATAGTAAGCTCCTACCTTATAAATGCGACCTTTGGTAACAAAAAGTTCTATAAGCGTAGGAGTATGATCTATGGCAGCGTCAATCTCAATCAATGCCTTATCCGTTTGACCGAGATAATCGTAATGTTGCGCCAGGTAATAATAGGTCCATAACAGAGCGGATGCCGGTTCTCGTGGATTATCTTTCTCCTGGTCGCTAAAATGGCCGTGTAGTTTTAATGCCTCCTTGTATTGCACAAGCAGAGATGATATGATGTCGACCTTTTCCTTGTCGGTGTATAATGAACGCAGGTTGACAAATAACGGCGGTACACCTTTATGAAGTCCTACGGTGAAATAAATCCAATTAAATACACGAAACTGCAAAGATCTCGTTCGAATAAGCAGTTGTACTTTGCACGCGAAGGTTTCTCCGAAAGAGAAAAATTACCTTTCCGTAAATATCGATCAACTAAGACTTTAAATTCGTCCCCCGTCGCGTAATTGAGTTGCAAGCGACGCGGTGCTAACGCTCGAGGGAAGAGCTCCTCGTATCTTTGGAGCATATGCAACGTTTCGCTGGGTGAAGAATGTCTCTCAGCCTCTGCTAGCCTAGTGTAGTACGTTGTGTTTTCGGGATTAATATCTAACAGCTCCTTGTAAACCTGCTCCGCTTCCGCGTACTGTTTCAGTTGAAGTCTTAGCTTACCTAGAAGGCGGTTTACCAGGAATATTGAGACAAGTACTCAAGTGTAAAGACTATTACTTCAGGGAGGCAGGTCGCGCTACTCACCGTAAGTCTCTTTGACAGTGACCTTGTCACAAATTTGATCACTATACTTGTCTAAATGTTTTAACGCCTGCTCACATTCTCCCGATTCCTGGATGACCATATTTTGATACAGTAACAACTCGCTATGCTCATAATCGTAACAAATCTGTGGAAACATAAAACATTTGGCATTATATGTCTTGCGTACCGATACAATATACCTTGCCCGCGTACAGATAGCGTACCATTGGAGAATTTCGAAAGGTGTCTAAAATTTTCAATGCCATCTCATAGTCTCGCAACAAATGATATGAAATAGCAAATCCGATCCAAGAGGCTCGCTGAGTGGGACGTAACATAAACAACTGATATCTGGTATCCTGCGACAAAGCAATCGAGATACATTCATTAGTATATTTAACAAGATGTTCACAAACGTACTCGCAAATATAATTAAAGTGCAACACTCGTGTGGCGCCGGACGGCACGTATGGCGAAAGGAGGGCTCGGGACGAGGCGACTCGCTCCTCGGGACATCTCACCTTGTAACCTTCCAGATCTCGCATTTGGATTTGTAACAAGGACAGATCCCTGAGAATCTGAATGTTGTCCTTGTCCCACTTGAGCGCATTTCTGTAGCACTTGATAGCCTCGTCGTACTTCTTGTCGGAGCGCTGCAGAAGACCGTAGACGTGCCAGCAGACGTGGGACTGCAGGTCATTCCTGAGGCCGCGGCGCACATGATCGTAGGCTTCTTCCTTGCGGCCCAGGCAGTTGAGAGTGAGACCCTTCATCGCCAAGGTCTCACCATGGTCGCTGAACTTGGGATTTGAGAGGATCTGTTTGGCGAACTTCAGCCCATTTTTGTATTGCTTGTGCTCGTAGCATCTCTGGAAAGAAAAGACCCGGGGGGGGCGGCCGAGCGCAGCGCGGTGAGAAGAGAACGGCATTGTAGGGTTAGGTAGGAGAGGGGGGGCTCGGTCCCGAGTTCTATCCCGCATTTGTGCGGGAACGACGATGCCGATCGCCGCGGAGGGCCGCCGGCCGAGACGGCCTTTCGTCCGTGACGGCAAGCAGGCGACCGCGTCTCGCGGTCGCCAGTGACCTTTTCCCATTTTTCCGCCCCCACGAAGAGTGCTTTATCATTAGAGCAAGCGGCGAGAGGTGCACCCCGCTCGCCGGAGAGCGGGGTCCAAAACAGAGTATTTTGCGCGGCGGTTACTCACCAGGATCCGCTTGAACAGGGCATTTTCTTTGGGTGGCAACGGGTTGCTGGAGGGCATTTTTGTATAACTACAAAAATAGGGGTCCTTTTCCACCCGGCAAACTTAATTTTCACCACAAAACCTCGTGGCCACAAACGAAGAAGTCGATCCACGATCACGTGATCGTCCGCGACAATGCTGTTCCGCCGGAAGCGCTGCCGCCACGGTGCCGCACGGTTCAAGCGGCGGTTACGCTAAAATCGATCTCCAATCGAGTTCGAGACGATCGCCTGCACCAAGCGCATATACCTGCGCCTCTCGATAAACGCGTGTCGGAGAGATCGCTCGTAACTCAATGCCTTTTCAGCCGCGATTATTTCACTAAAGTTCAACGCGATAACAGCTCCACGAAATCTGCCGGGATACATTATGAAATACATTATGAAATATCGGAGAAATGTGTACAATGCGTCTTGAGTCACCTCGGAAATCACGAAGTGACAGGATAATTAATACAGTAACATCGGAAATCCTTCTTGTTGCTTGATTTTTTGTCGGCCGTTTTGTATTCCGAGTGCGCTAGCGTAGTGCGGGTATGGGAACATACCTGTGGCTATAAGTCCCTAGATCTCTAGTGACATTCGATTAACCTCGAGCGACTATTGGTCGGCGAGTGAAAACAGCCATAGACCTTAAGCCCGCTGCAGACAATGCTATTTTTCCTGCTGGATTGCTTGCGATTTACTAAATTACTAGGAATCCTGAATGCTGAATGGTGCAACGATAGTAATTTATTAGATTGCAAGCAATCCAGTAGGAAAAATAGTATCGTCTGCAGCGGGCTTTATAGGCAACCGCGGCAATTGCTACAGAGTTGCCACCCAGCAAGAAATACAAGGAGTCTGTTCTTTTTAATCGAACTGGCTGCACTAATCAGAGTTTATCTTTCTTCCTCTCTGCATTGGAAAGCGAAAGATAAACTTTTAACTAGTGCAGCCAGTTTAGCTGTAAAGTATAGACCTACGCAGCCAATATAGTCACGTTCAGCAGGCACAACGGTTGAGTGAGCGCTCAATGATTTCTTAACATGATTGGCTGGATCTGAAAGTATTAACCAATCGAGCGCTCACTCAACAGTTGTGTCTGCTGAACGCGGCCATTGATTTCTAATTAAAAAATAATTAATTAATTACAAACAAATGAATGACTCACAAACCTTTCTAATTGCACTACAAACGTCTACATACGAAATACAAACGATTGCATATAGGAGTTATTTAAAAATACGTTCAGTCGGCGTCAAGTATGAGCGATTGGCCGCGTTCAGCAGACACGACTGTTGAGTGAGCGCTCAATGATTTCTTAACATGATTGGCTGGATCTAAAAGTATTAACCAATCATACCGAGCGCTCACTCAATAGTTGTGTCTGCTGAACGCGGCCATTGTAGCGGAGGCTTAACACAGCTGCTCGCTTGCTTGTGAACGCTACACACAATCCTCGCGGCCGGTTTAACTGGTTTAACCAACGGGAAACAAGTCTCTTTTCAAAATTCGGCAAGTTTCATTTGGTTTCGTTCGGGACGTTGAGGGAACAGCGTGTCTTCTCAACCATGTTCTCACCTACAAGAGAAATTTCTGATCCTCGTGGTTGCATCATCCCGCGCGAGGCCCGATAGTTAGGCCTCTATATTGTATTAACCAATTGGAACTTGCTCGAAAAATCACAACGTGCCTTCAGGTCGGCACGTATACCTAGTCGTGGCCAATAGACCCGCGAAAAGGAGGACTACCACGCCGTTGAGATTGATTGCAGCGTCCAGTGCAACACGTGGAATCGTAATCCAGGACGAGAAGGTTAATTGTTACGAGAAGCCATGCACGACTTTCACAACAAGCTTTGCTCGTTACTCTTAGGAGAATATTTCGGCTCTATCGTACAATGCATCGGCATTAGTTTAGCGTACGGAACGAAAACGTTACACGCAATATGTTTCAGAACGAAACTGCCACGGGCGAAGGTAAACAAATAAATGATGGCTACATGTTACTAATGATGACATTAGTTGCTTTCCTTTTACATGAGAACTCGGATAAATCTCACTTGTGCCGTCATAACTCAGTTGAATGCATGTTCCTTTTGATTCTTGAGAAGTGATTCGACCAGATTTAACTGAGTTTTTGCACACGATCAAGACCATGTGCTTTAGTCAGTTTAATAGACTCACATTAATGACGTCATATCCGAGTATAAAGTACTCACATAACTGAGGGACTCAGTATCACCTAAATGTAAAAGGAAAGCAGCTTGTATCGCATTAAATATATATATAGACTTTGTACTTATCAATATCTTGCATCCATTCAGAACTTCTTTTGCTAACATACCCTTTATCTCCCTGTTAGGTAAGGGAAGGTCTACATGTTCTCATGAAACACGGTTTTGTTACTTCTGGAGAGTATGACGAGCGCATCGGATATACCTTGCATCTAAACAAGGTTATTATGCTTCTTCGCTTGCCAAGGTATGCTTTCCCGTTGGAATAATACTTTTAATTGCGGAGTGTAATGCATATTTTTTTATCTTGCCATCGTTGTCTCTCTCTCGAGATGTCAATTATCGTGAATATTATTCATCGCAGATACACGCTCTTTGTAAAAACTATGTGCGGAGACGAGGGTGAAATTATGTTGGAGGAGGTGCTGAAACACGGATACATCACGGCATCAGAATTGATAATAAAGACGTACAAGCGAATCGAACAGACACCTTCCAAATGTATGATGCCAATGGTCTTGTTCGGCTTCTGCGTTTTCTTGCAAAATCATTTCCTACCGCTCTATTAAAGCGTCGTATTAATTATCCAAATGCCTTTTCAGCCGTCCAACTGTCTTTCGTTCCGAATCTAAAAGAGGTGTTCGAGTTGTTGGTAAAAAATCAATTTTTAATGCATAGTACATTGGTTAACACGACGATTGAGGAAGAGCAAGCCGAGAAACCCGTTTACGACTTACCTGAGCTCGACGTGATGGCCATTTCCAACGTGTTGGAGGGACAAAATGTTGAACTTGCCGATAATAAGCTGTACTGGAAGGTCAATTTCGATCGACTTACACAAGATCTTAGGTAAAAAAAGAAAAAGAGCATTGAGTCACAATACTCTCTTCGATTATATTTCAATAATATTAACATGTGTTATTTACGCCAGGGATCAAATCGTTATATCGGCCATGACCCCAAGATTCGATAAAAATGCGGAAGAATTGATGAGACAATTGATAAATTTAATGTACCTGCGGACCGCATCTTGGGCATCCACGTCGAATCCCATCCCGTATAGCGAAATAAAGGAAGCAGTGAAGAAGCTGAGTTATCAAGAGCTCGAGCATTATCTCGATCAATATTTGCAGCTTCTGGAGGAGGATAGTACACAATTTATCAAACGGGTTGGCGATTCCGGTGGAGGGCAGTACAGCATTAATATGAAGAACGCATTTGTGCAATTGATATGGGCGACTTTGGACCATATCGTAACGGAAAGATTTGGTCCCAAGGCTGCAAGGATTTTTAGGTAAAGTTACAGAGATTCAGTCTGCAATATGTTTTCTTCTTCCTCGTGTATTGGGCTTAAAAGCTTTGTCCAGTTCTTTCTGGTACAGAACGAACTGGTACTTTGAATATTTGGTTTTCATTTCAAAAGGATATGTGTGGCAGAATACTCTCGGTTACCAGTGTTGTCCGTGAACTTAAACTCTGATCTTTTCGTTTATTTGTTCACTAAGGAGCGCACATTTCTTTGCGCCACACATCTCGATGTCATTTTACCGAAAAGAAGAGAGAGTGTCTCGATTGTACGCTTTCTCGACATAATTTGGCTTCTCGGCGATTTTCAGATTGGTTCGCGACGAAATTAATGTTAACATGGAACAAATCCAGAATTTGGCTATGATTCCAGCAAAGGAAGCCAAATCCCTAACATATACCTTGTCTCAAGAAAATTACATACAAATTCAAGAGATGAGGAAAAATGGAACTTTGTCGGGGCCGGCAAAAGTGCTTTACCGCTTTTACATCGATTTTGATAGACTTGTCGAAATGGAAACCGAGCATTGTTATCAAGCGTTGTACAACATTATAAAAAGACGGGATCTCGAAACAACCAACAACAAACGTATAATAGAAAAGCAATTGAGGATACAGATACTTTCCAACAAATTTGAGGAACATGGCGCGTCGGAGCAGCAGCTCACTGATGTAATATGAATATATACTCTTATTATTGAGATAAAAAGAATCGCAGAAGCAACGAATTAATATACAATATTTTAAAAACTTTCTAGATTGCAGAAATGATGACACCGTCTGAGACTCAACAGTTTGAAAATGCGCAAAATGCGATCAAGAAACTGGCGGCCACACAGTTACAAATAGACGAAACCTTATTTTTATTAAGTATGTATGCTCTATATCGTTAAGTTAGTTCAGTCTGCTTCAATTCCTCGATTTGTCTCCGCGATAATTCGCGCTGTAAAAATGAAAGTCTCGCATTTATTCATTTATATAGTTCATATTTATTTATGTATAATAATGATTACGCTTGTAAAATACAAACAACAAAGAGTACCTAGCTTTCAAATTATAATAAATATAATCATATTTTTTTATGTTTATAATAGTGCTGTTCTCTATTGTGATATACAGTGCATTTGATGTCTCTATCTATGAGGAAAAGTCATCTCGGATCGTGTGCAACATAAATAAATAATTGCGATTCGCCAATGTTCACTCGTATAGTTTAATAAGCAAATGGCGATGAATATATGCGTACCTTTTGTCGAAAAGAATGAGAGATGAGGGAGAGTTAGTCACGTGACTCACAGCCAGCTTGTGGTGCGTTCTTGATGAGACTTCCGTTTCAATTGGTATTCGACGAAAATATCGTATGTATTCTCAGGCGCGAAAATGCATTTCGTTCACAATAACAGTAAAGCGCGTGCCTCCTAAAGACAATGTTATGCCACGCTGTATATATGTGCGTTCCGAAGAATGACTTTTCCTTTGTTCTACTGTATGCTTTGTACGCTCATCTTAACACTGCCGCGATGAAGATTATTCCGTTACGAGTATGTATCAATAAATAAAATTTAAAGTAGTGTTATCAGTAGCGATTTACCCATCATCCTAAATATATATTTTGATTTTATGCTATTGATACCGATAGTGTACTACGATCACGACACGAGTAGTGTTAAGATGATCGTGAGAATTTTGTTTCACTCGCACATCTGACTGTTTTCTTATACTCTCTACCTTTCACACACTCACAGTCTTTCTCTTACTCTTCCTTTCATCTCTTTCACGCCTCTTTCTCACTCTCGCTCTCATTCTATCTCCTCTCATTTGCACTAGTACTGCATAACTATATACATCCCTCATACATACAAGTTTTTCATCTAGAAATAGTGTCGTACACCCCTAAAACTAAGATTGAATTTCGGTAAAGCGTTATTTTATTATATTTTTTTATACCATTAACAACAACGTACATGTAAATGAAGTGAATGCTTGGAATATTGAGAGCGGATGTTAGTGTTCACTTTTTCTTTACGTTAAATATACTATAATATTAGTAGTGTAATTCGATTTACAATTTACTATTCTTACAGTTTGCATTCGCATTGGTTGCATGTAAAGGCCAGTAAATATAATAATCGTGTGCTGATATATTATCGCGTAACATTCGTGATATCTGAAAGTAAGGAGATCGCCACGGACTAAGTATCGTTGCTAATTTCAACGATCGTGTGGGTAGAAGTCGCAATCGATGGAATGCAGAACCGATTTTTATCAAAGCAAATACCGCGGACAACAATAAGAATCGGCGAGTACTTTTAAAGAAGGGAAAACGCGGACCGAACTCCATTGCACGCGCGAGTTACATTGTCACAGATGGTTTGGTTTTGTAAAATTTCGCAAACATAAAAACAATTTTTTAATATTCATAACGAAGATATGGCACAACTGAAAAAAAATGCAAGATAGGCAGATCATTCACTCGAAATATGTCATCTTTTTGCTAAGTGAAAAATTGCCATTGTCTAACAGTAGAGCGATTAAAAGAAAATTGCATATCTTTCGAAGCTTGCCCTTGAAACTGGCGACGAAAGCTTGATCTAGAGAGAGAAACGTACTTTAAGACGTAAAACTTTGAACTGAAGAAAATTATGAATATGATATAAAATTGAAGTTCCTAGACGCAGTATTCCAAAATCATCACAGACCAAGGAAACGGCTCCAACGAGGGAAATGTATACATGTAAAGATACTGCATTAAAAATGTGTCTCACATAGAAATATATCGCATTAAAATTTGATTGAGTATTCGAGTATAAACGACCGACGAACTTTCACTTGCCGTTCTTGTCTAAACTGGCACGTACAACCTTTTCCTTTTGCTACTAAAAATAATAAGGCTCGTCACTTAAATAATAGTGTACTAATTAAGCAACGATGATATTAATAACTGTAATATTTATAATAATAATAATAATGGTGCCATCTCAATAATAATAATAATAAAGATAATAAAGATAATAATGACAATGAAAATAAGAATACATATCGCGTTTAACATTGTTAATCTACATACTTCGAATAGTTACATATATAATGTAGCTACGTAGATACATCACAATATAGTTACACTGTACATTAATAATATTGACGCTCGTGTCGGGCCGCGGATCGATGATTATCTCCCGACACAATGTACAAATCCATTATATACATAAAATAAATTATTATCAACATTAAGCTATCCTAAAATCTGATGCCGGTCGAGCCCCCAACGAAAATGGGTGCAGATATATCGAGGATACTGGCTCTCTTTATAAAATTATATTAGGTACCGTGTGTTTATGTAAATTGCACTGATTATAAATAACAAAAGAAGACGTGAAAAAAGGAGACGCAAAAATTCGTTTCACGTCGAGCCAACGAGGCGACTCGGAACTAGAGGTTTTTCTCTCTCTTTTTCTCTCTCTCTGTTTCTCTTCTTTTTCCTTTTTTTTTTTTGATTAACCCCCGCCCGCGAAAACGCTATTTGGCACATAAGTATTATATCACATCAAGCTCCAAATCATTATATCGCCTTGTTCGATCGCCCCACAGACCTAGCTACGTTTACAATTGCGTTCGTCTTTTCGTATCGACTTAACCGCGAGGCTGTAATTGTCCCCCGTCGGCCTCACCACCCCCTCGTGTACCACGATCTCCCCCACGTTCGTAAATGTAATTCGAAGTCGCAGAAGCGCGCCCTTACGAAAATCGGGGCGACGTGTCGAGCATGGCGATCAGGATCGCAGATGCGGGGCTCCGATCTTTCGATAAATATAACGCTATAATCCCTTTTTTTCGCGACCGTTTATTACCGTAACGTTGTACTAATATATCGACGATCCGCTAATTCCCAATGTCCATCCCGTCTTCAACCCCCTTTACGTCCTCTCGCCCCTTTTCGCCCCCCTGCCACTCAGTCGACTATCAACCGCCTCTCGGCTGTCTCGCTGCTTTTACATTTAGGGTCAATAAATTAACGGTGAAAATACTATAAGTACTAGGCATTTATATTAAACGAGAAGCCCGTCGTCGCGCGTCCACGTACCGGGGCTTGATCGCGCGTGCGATTATCTTCTAGCTTTTTTTTTCTCACTCTGTTCCCGACCATCCGTTCAGCGCGTCGAACGCGCGGTTGTTTTACATACGATGGAACATTTTACAACGACCGACTGACGGCCGCGAGATAAGATATTGCCACGTGCGGCGTCCACGCGTTCGGACGCGCGCGATCTCGTTGCGGGAGACGCTGCGATAGACCAGTTTCTACTTATTCGTTTCACTCTCTCTCTCTCTCACTCTCTTTTTCGTCTTTCTCTCTCTTTCCCTCCGTTCATTTCGTTTCTCTTTCTCGACACGGTCCGCATCCGAAATCGGCCCGTATCGTTTAGACGCACACACATACACACTTAGGAGAAATAGGAACAAGACTTTTTGGCCATGCATCGTGTCGCAACGTTGTACGTGATATCGGCTGTGTGTATCCAGGTCCGATAAGGAGACCGGCACGAGCTGCGCATCCGAATCGGCGCGCGATTGTCTTATTATAAAAATTATGCGTACGTATGCGCGTGCCCTTGCGACCCCCGCACGCGCGCGCGGATGCGGGGACGCCAAGTGCAACGAGCGTCGTCGGGTTTTTTTTTTGGCCGCTGTTTCAACGCCGGTTATCTCTACGCTTTAGCTACCGATAATCGAAGTCTACCACGAGTTTCGTGCGGATTGCAATTTTGATTACGATGCGGGAGAATATACAGGGAATACCGCCGACGTGCGTGAGAGACGCCGTTCTCCGTCGTCGCTCGTGTGACGCGGGAGCGAGTTAAGCTGGAAACGCACGAGAAAACTCGAGCAGTAAGACTTAAGATTGAAGAACTTCAACCAATCGGAATTGTTAACGTTGCTTAAGTTTCGAAACGGCTGCTCACGTTCTCGACTGCCATTTTTCCCCTCAAGTTTAACTGCTCAAAGTCTTTTCGAGTGTTCGCGCCTTCACCGAGCGAAAAGACGTCCCCGGGAGATGCGCGAGAGATTAGGATGTCTGGTGGAACGTCTTTCAAAGTCTTACGACGTTGTGCCTGTTGTTTCGGCTTTAGACCGCGGGGTTTTCAATATGCACTTGGCTCGAGAATGTCTGAACGAAAATGAGCAACAGAAGAGTCTTGCGCGAGAACGATTTGTGAACCGCCGCATGTGGGAACGAATAAATAAAGACCGTGTCTCGATACAGATTGTCTCGAAATGGCGTTGCATCGCGCAGCGATGGAAAAACTCGGAACCTAAATCGGCAATCGTCTTTTGTCAAAATAAGGAATTTACGAAGAAACTCAACCGTTCCGTTCTCCAATATCACTGAGCCTTGGATATGAGCATTACAGAACAGATTATAAAAGATACTTTCTTAGAAACTAGATACTGAATATTTGACAAAGGTGTGCTTCGAATGATTTCGAATCGTCAACGACTCGATTTCGAATATAATCAAATCATTTTTCAAAGCAACATATATAACAAACTCAGGAAAAATTGATTTAAATTCGAACATGAAAAGATTCGGTTTGACCGCGTAAAAGCAAGACTCGCACACATCCAGTATTTAATTTTAAGGGATTCAAACGCAAACGTGAAGCAAACTGATTTTACATCTTCCTCTGCCGTCACCAATTTCGAAAAATTGTTTTATAGCAAAAATGAAAGAGAGCTTCGAATATAGATACATTACATGTTATACAATATATACATGTTTCTAGCGCAGTTTTGGAAGATACGTTTTCGGAAAACAATTTTACATACGTAGTTGAATTTGATGTTAAATTATTTTGATCTACATTACACAACATATCCAAAGCTCATCGTCAAAATTATGGCGGGATAGTTGGGTATATTTTCTTGTTAATTGAGCACTGCAAATGGGACATCAAAGGATGTCGTTGTCAAAATATTCAACGAGTCTAAACATGTTGCTTTGTCAATACGATATACAAGCTTGTGTTTGTGGAAAACTGTATCGAGATCCGTGTACACGCATTCGATACGAATCAAACGGACTAACGGATTGCACACTAGCGAAAACACACACCGGTATTTTTTCTGTTATAGCTTGTATCGAAGAGCAAGGAAGATCGACGATCGAGCGACGTCGCGACGGAGACGCTCTCGCGCTTCTACTTCGCGTTTCGCGTACGATGGCACAGAGATAGAACATTATATCACAACCTCCGGCGAGGTTTCGAGACGCCTGAAACTCTTCTTTCCCTGAAAAGTAGAGTGCCCTCTTCCAGTTCGCTCCGTCGTGCGGAGAAGCGCGGCTCGGAAACATGTTCCAGTGTGTGACTCGAGACACACGTCGCCGTCGTCGTCGTCGACGTCACACCGAGACAGACGATTCCGATTACCAGAAGAGTTCGTAAGCGAGTCTCGACGTGGACGCGGCCGCTGCGGTCGCCGCGGCTGCCGCCGCCGCCGCCACTGCTGAGGATGATGACGATGATGCTCCGGGCGGCCAAAGTGGCTGACCCGGAGCCGTGGTTCAATCCTCGTCGTGGTGCCGCGGACTCGCGTCGTAGCCGCCGATAGAGCCGGAATTCTCGGGCGAGAAGTTCATCATGTCCGTGGGCGAGAGGCTGTCCTGCGGATAATAAAAGGAAGGGTGGTCCGAGCTCGGGCCGGCGACGCCGCCGCCGCCGCCGTTCAGCATCGTCGCCGGGGGCGAGACCGACGGCCGCGCCGACGGCCCGGCGCCCGTGCCCGGGTGATGCTGCGTGCCGGTCAGATCTGCGCTCACCGGCGACAAGAAGTTCATCTCGCTGCCACCGTCGCGGCACCACAGCTGCCGCATCTCCTGCCGCCGCTGCCGCATCAGCGACTTGTACTCGGAGATGCGCATCTTTTTGCCGTCCACGATGCACGTGCGCTTCGGCCGCGGCCGGTACCTGTAGTCGGGATGCTTCTCCATGTGCAGCTTCGACAGCCGCGACTGTTCCTCGTAATACGGCTGCTTCTCCGAGTTCGACATCGCCTTCCACCGGGCGCCTGTAACCGACGCGAAGAATGCGCGTTCAAGTGGAGAACGTTTCGCGTCATCTCCGACGATCTTTCATCGGGCACGTTAAGATGCATTCAACTGCGTCGAATAAGCTCTCGTTGTGTTCCGCCTGCGCGAGTGTTGTTTAAAAGTCAATCAGTGGATAGTCACTGATTTACAGTTATAAGTATACCACCGCAAATCGGAGTGAATCAGTCACTATTCGCTCTTCCCATTCAATCTGCTGATTGACTTTTAAAGAGCACTCGCGGGCAAAATACAATTTTTAGAGAGCGCGCTGTATCACTTTCCAATTTCAGCGCAACGATTTTGCAACTAAAATTTCACACGTGTGCCACATCGATCGATACCGCGACGACGCATCTGCGACATAAATAATTCAGATGTAATTATGGGTCGGGTGTGCTTACCGAGAATCTTCGATATGTTCGAGTTATGCATGTCTGGGCAGGCTTTCAAGATCTTCCTACGTTCGTCCTTGGCCCACACCATGAATGCGTTCATAGGTCGCTTGATATGTGGCTTGTTCTCACTCTCCCTTTTCTGCTGCCTCACCATTTTAGCTGAAGAGAAAGAGAAAGAGAGACCGGGGCGTTAGATGTCACGTCGTCGTCGGGATTCACGATACTCTCGTGAGAAACGAATCTAATTTCGCGAGGGCGTCACTTGGCGCTCTCAAAACAAGAGCGTAACATCAGCCTAATCGTTACTCATGGAAGTGCTTACCTTTTTCCGTTATGTCTTCCGCCACTTTATATCCCGGATCTCGCCACACTGCAATTTCAAAGGCGAATCAGATATGCGACGTTGAGCGGGGAGACCGTTTGCAGCGCTAATATAATCTTTACAACAAACGCTATAACATGCATCTTACAATAATGCTCACATTTTTCTACAAAAAAAAAACGAGGGGGGGAAGATTTACACACGGAGAGACCGCTGGTACAAGAGACATTGATATGATAAGTAGTGGAGACAACTATATGCGCTTTGTGCAGCAAACTTAATGAATGTTGCAACACGAAACAATGTAGACGCCCCTACTATTTATACGGCAACTTTTTAATTTGAGTTACTTTTTGCCTTGGCCGGTCTTTCCGTGCACGACATGAAATCGCAATACCTTTTCTACACCACGTGCGCATTCAGTTTCATCTTTCATTCTCGATCTCTCCAAAAGTCAATGAGTGGACGCTCACTGATTCGCGGTTGTGAGCGCTGAATTATATCATAGGCTTTTAGAGAGATCGCAACTCGACCTTGATTTGACGTTTGCACGGGACGCTGCTTCGCCGTTTCCCCGGCAGAAAGAAATCGACTCCACATTCGTCGAGCTGTATTAAGCGCTCTTTGTACTCGCAGCCTCAATTTGCGATCCGTCTCGATTAACGCGACGCGCGCGTTTCTACGCGTCCACTTACTGTGAGACGTCGAGAGAAAATCCTGCTCCTCCTGAGGCGTCTCCTCCCGAGGGCCAGAATGCTTGATCGGTCTTTGAGTCTGGGCCGACGGCGGCATCGCACCTGCGTTCGACTGCAATCCGTACAGCCCGTGCATCACGAAGTGCTTCTCCACTGCCGCGGCCGCAGCGGCCGCCACGGATCCACCGGGTCCGCCGGCCTCGTCTTTGGCCATTACCTTGCCCACTGTAAACGGGTCACCGGGGAAACCGGGATGAGAGACGCGTAATGGAGACACGGTCGGAGGGACATGCGTTTTTAAACTGTACGGAGCACCGAAAACCCGAAGGCGCGGCATCTTTCCGCCCGGTTGAGGATCAGTCGGGCTCGCCTCTAGCGAAAATTTCATTTGACCCTTCACGGCCTCCTTAGTTTTAGGTATCACAGTGCGATCTCAATGATTCTCTCTAAAAGTCAATCGGTGGATTATCACCGAAAACAGTGAATACTCACTGATTCATACAACTCGATACTGTAACTCGACTCTGTCTTATTCGACGACGATGACTGACTTAGTTGTTGTTGGTTTGCTGTATCACTCGAGAAGGACCGAAAATAATAGGGTCGAAACGTTGTGTAATAAGCTAATTAAATAACTAGCCAGTTGGGTTGACTACAAGTTTCCCGTCTGAATCTTTATGGAATAGCTACACATTTCTCGAAACTAGAACTTGAAGAAGCAGGACCTTTAGAGACCACAATTGACGTTGGAATTCTTTCAAGTGGAAATAGCCTCCGAAGAGAATGAATTAAAAGTTTGCCGTCTCCGATCGTTTGTAAAATGAGTATTACTTTCAGAGCCACGTTCGCCGGAAGCCCTCTTCCTCTCACTGGCGGACCTTTGATACAATCCCGAAGTTTACGACATGGTTTTTCAATGCTCCGTATATGTCGCGGACGAAGTGACGCGAGGAGACTCGCTCGCGACGTTACAATGAACGGATTTTCTTCCCTTCCTCGCGCGAATCGCGCCCGCGTCGCGCGGCCCTTATCGGGCGGAATCGCGTTACGCATCGTTGATTACGAGCATGCCGCCGGTACCCGTGGCAAAAACCAGATGGCAAGTGAAACAGGTTCTTCGAGGCGAGCGGCGCGGAGGGAAAAAACCCGGCCGCGGACAATCGGGGAAAACTAGCCTGCTCGAAGATGATTAAGTGTTCACCGCCGCTATGAAATCGCGCGCTCCGCGGAGGGCATCTTTCCTCTCTCTTTCTCCCTCGGATCCTCTTGCGGCAATCGCCAATTTGCAATTGTTCCGCGAGACCGGCTCGCGCCGCGTAATCGACGCGAGCCGCTCGCGGATCGCGGTAACGGGCGCTACTTTAATCGCGCGGCGGTTCGGGTCAACACTTGCTGTGAACAGTTGGCCGATTATAACATGCATTTCGCGCGGGGCTCAGCGAAGCGAGAGAAAGAGCGAGAAAGAGGGAGCGCGCGTAAAGATAATCAACCGTTGTGAATGGCAACAATCTCGCGGAATATCCGCGAAATGTCGTTTCGACACGATACTCGGTCTCGCGTTCGCCGATATAATCCCGGGCTTTGTTCCGCTCTCGCGAATGGGTTGACTCACTCGGCGAGGACAGAGTGCTGAGATGCGGCGCCATGCCGGCGTAGGGGAGCGTCTGCAGGTAATTCCGCGACAAGGACAGCCCCGATGGGAAGAGCTTGGGCGCGGTCGCCGCCAGCGGCTGCTCCTGCTGGCCGCTACTTCCGGCGCCGGTCGAGTGCGAATCGCTGCCGGGCGACGAGGAGGACGCCGTGGCGCCCGAGGAGGACGCCGATTTCGGCTTGGTGAGGTTCAGCGGGGCGTCGAGGTCCTGGGGAGGCGGCGGGGCCGTCGGCGCTACCGCGGATGAGATCGGCGCCGGCGACGACGATTCCTTCTCCATCTGCGTGGTCATCTGCGCGAGGTGCGCGCTCGCCCAGCTCGGGCCCTCCCGGTGGCTGCTGATCATCTGCAAACGAGCGAAAAATCGTCAGGGACGGTGTTCACGTGCGGGCCGCGGCGCGTTGAGTTTTTTTTCCCAAAAACGAGCCACGATTTTGCAACGCCTCTCTGAATTTTTTGTATTTTTCTCCACGGGACGAGAGCAGACGTGCCGAAAAAAGGGAAAAAAAACTAATGTGGCGAAAATAACGCGCGATATCGCAATATCGCGCGGAGAGCCAGCGCGTGCGGGCTCGATACATCGACATACAATCACCGGGGGCACGTACATTGGCGATGGAGTTGATGTGCTTGTTGCCGGTGGTGGCGGTCGACGTGGCCGGCGGCGGAGGCATGGGCGACTGCACCGGCAGCGCTCTGAGCTGCTCGAGAAACGGCAGGAACATCAGCGACTGCCCCGACATGCTCAGCTGGCTCTTTGTCATCTGAGCCTGCAGCTCCTGGATGTTGTGCTGCATGATGTGCTCTTGCTGCCGCTTCAAGTGCTCCGTTTGCAGCCGCTGCATCTCGATTTGCTTCTGCGAGTCGACCGTCATGTGAGCGGGATACGACTGGAAAGGCACACACGGGCCACTAATTAAAAGGACGTCGCGCACGTGAGGTCCCTCCGTCGCGCGCGCCGCCAGCGAGGGTGGACCGTTCTCCACCATCCTTGACGGGGGCCGGCTTATCCGCAAGCGCGGCGCGCGGATGAAATACGCCGGGCCGGACAATGCCGGGCGTCGAGTAAATTGCGCGACGCGATTGCCACTTTGTGCCCGCCAACGACTCGATGCGTCGTAAATACCGTTTTGGACCTCCCTCGTTATGCGCCTTTCGCCTATATATATACCTTAGGCTACGAGCCGGACGCCCGCGAAACGCTATTATACGCGCGGTTGCGCCGAGAGATTTCTTTTTCGGCTGCTTCGCCGCGACGCCAGAGTTATTTCGACTTCTTACCAGTCCCGCGCGCGAAACCGGAAACATTCCGTACGAGTATACGTTGTTGCTTCAAAGTAACGTAATTATAACGTGCGTTAAGAGGATGCTAAAGTCGTCTGTTTTAGCGACACATTCGAATATAGTTTTTGCGCTGCTGAATCCTTTTATTGGTTTTTACGCCTAAAATAATACCAGGATAAGTTGCGGACCGCATAGCAGAACGTTTTTATACTTGAAACACTCGGGTCAGAAGTCTAATGAGAAAGATATTGGTATTTGAAATTTTCAATTTTTTAATCGCGAGCAATTTGAATTTGGCTTTATAAAATTACAAAATTCTTCCACGCGATTACAGTACACGTAAAAATAAAGCGGGGGGTTCACGACTCCCTATCTAAAAAAGGTGTTGCGAGTTCATTGTTGTCGCTTTTCCGCGATGCCGATTGGCTCTCTCGAAACTCGATTTCGATCTTGTTGCGAGTCGATTCTCTTCGACTCGCGGTTTTGACAGTTTGCATTTAAGAGGGTTATTTTGACAGTTTGTGTCGATCTCGTTGCGAGTCGTTCACTTCGACTTGCGGTTTCGACAGTTTGTATTTAAGAGGGTTATTTTGACAGTTTATGTAATATAATGAGGAAGAACAATGGCGCGCGCGAAGCGCGCGCTTGTGTTGTTCTAGTTTATATAAAAAACGAAGAGAAATTAAAAATATCGCTTTATAAGTAATTGTGGTTAGGCTTCACATGCTGATATTTTTAATTTCTCTTCGTTTTTTATATAAAGTCGTGAACCCCCCGCTTTGTTTTTACGCGTACTGTAATCGCGTGGAAGAATTTTGTAATTTTATAAAGCCAAATTCAAATTGCTCACGATTAAAAAATTGAAAATTTCAAATACCAATATCTTTCTCATTAGACTTCCGACCCGAGTGTTTCAAGTATAAAAACGTTCTGCTATGCGGTCCGCAACTTATCCTGGTATTATTTTAGGCGTAAAAACCAATAAAAAGATTCAGCAGCGCAAAAACTATATTCGAATGTGTCGGTAAACTTTAGCGGTAGACTTTAGCATCCTCTTAACAGTTGCGCCGTGTGCGCGCAAGGGTCCTCAGCTCTTGACGATATTAATTATGCAGGCTCGGCTAACGAGATCGTTACGTTATATTATTTATTAAGCTTATGTAAACGCTGCGTGAGTTTTTTTAATCAAATGATTATCCTGACAAACCAATGAATGGAAACGTCCGCTTTTGCATCCGCGTTTACAGTTTTATTGGTATCGTAATGCGAAAATTCTAAAAAAAAATTAAATAAGACAGGAATCGGCGCTCCTTGTTAACGAGTCAACAATTTGAACGGCCATCTCGAGTGCTCGATCTGTCGCCACTTTATTCGAGTAGAAAGTTGTAAAATATGTCAATTATTAAATGCCTGTTGGAAATATAATTTTTCTCCATTTTAAAATCATGAGATACCTTTATGCCCGCGTAACTGGATATAAAGGGACGGATTTATTAAAAACTTTCGCGTACCAAGTTATCAAAGGTGTTTTAACGCGAAATGTATATCGTACGTTCACCAGATCGTAAACGCATACCGATATCGCGTATGCAGCGATATGTAATATCGCGCCGAGGAAGATGATTACTTCATAATCGGGCAGTTAAAGACCTAATTGCGCGTCTGACTGGTAACATCGCGCGATTAAGCGGATCGCAGCCAAGTGCAGCGCCAGCGAATTTTTGCGATTAATAACGTTGTATTAATAGCATCGGCGAGCGAGGGGCTCGGAGGGGCGAGTGATCCGATCCACCCTCCATAGGAACGCGACAATTTACGCGACGAATAATCATTGTACTTTCCTACGTCCTGGCTACGATCCAGATATGCGCGGGGCTTATTTTAGACGATAAGGAAGACGTTTATTCATCCAGCCTGTGCACCAGCTGAGATGTCACGCGCGCGAGCGCGAGCGCACGGGACGCTGGATGCACCCGCGTCGCCCTTCCCGATTCCGTGCCGCGCGCGATTATTAATTTCATGACGCACCCGATGCCGCTTCTCTCTCGCGGGACTTTATCGCCGATGGGCGACGTAGAATCGACGTAGGAAAATCATTGCTTTGTATTATAAATAGTTGCGGCGCGGGAATTAAAAACTGCAGGGCGACACAAAAATCCGCGCAAAAACATGCGGCGTTGTGCAAGCGACGATAAGCGGTGACCTTCCGCGTCGATTGGACATTGCCGGACACTTCTCGTTGGCTTCTGCAGATTGTTAAAAATGATAGAGCGTAAAAAGCGTCGATGTACGAGCAGCACATTTCTAACATGTTAACGCGCGTAATGATTACAATGTGCGAGACGCGAGAGATCGATATGCCGACCGACGAGGAAAATCTTAATCCCCCCCCCCCTCGTTTCAGGAATAAAATAGCAATTTGAAATGAGAAGCAATTGAAACTACGTAACTTTTAACACAAAAATGGCTTGTCTTTCCCTGCATTCTTCGTGTCAATCAATAGAGAGATGGAGAGGGAGCATTTCTCGCGACAACGCATAGGGATTAGGCTCGGAGGCGGTCATTACGGGATTAAGAGTATCGTATGACTGTATTCTTCATTCTCTGTACTCGCTGACGTTACGATCTTTCACGATGCGTCGCCGGTACGGCGAGCCGCTCAAAGGCTGCCGAACTGTGGCGTTTATATCCCAGGCGAGCGTCCCAATGAGCGCATGTGCGTTCATTGAGACCACATGTGTCGCGTTCGCTTCGGCGGCGCGAGGGAGATCGGCCACCGGGAGACAATGAGTCCGCGACCGGGTAACGCCAATTCGGGTAACGTCTTCGGCTCGCGGCACCTATAATAGGCGGCAAAGACGCAGGAGAGAGAGAGAGGAGGGTGCAGGAAAGGGGGGGAGGAAGAGAGAAAGAGAGAGAGAGAGAGAGAAAGGGACGACTGGAACTTCATTATTCATTTGCACAGTTCAGTTATGCCGATGATACGTATCCGTGACAGCTATACCGCCCACAGTGGCTAAATATAAACAGGCGGGGTGCCAGCAAGTTCCATTCACATTCACATCCACACACGACGCGGCGGTTTAGTAAGTGAGCATAAGAATATGAGGAGCCCCGTTCTGAATATGCATCCGCGCATTGACGCCAACTGCACCGCCTAAACTTAGCCACGCAATTACCGAAACATATTTACCCCCGTAATCGCTCTTCGGCCGATTATCTATCGCGGAGTCCGCGCGATACCGGAGTCCCGGGTGTTATAGCGCGCGGAGGGGATCCAGATCGGTCGCAAAGTGAGATACGCGAATAAACAATTGGACGCTAAACTGCTTACCAAGCCGATCTAAATCTAAATAATTTAAATCGGTATAAACTGTAGATATAATTTTGTTCTCGCACGTGTCGACGCCGCGCAGTTCCGCGCGTAGCGAGTATCGCGACGTTTAAACCGTTTCGATTCTTACGGGGAGGCAGGCTGATCGACCCGTCTTCGCGTTTACGACGATTGTTCAATCGGCGAAAGATATTTACCGATAATTCGCGTTCCGCGCGGCGTCGCGGACGCCCGACGTTCGGGGCGAGGCGATTTTCGTAGGCGCGACACGCGGGGCTAAAGGCCACGGAAATTCGCTTATCCAGATTTAGAATCGGAGCCACTGGAGTGCGAGAGCGCGAGGGGACACACGCCGGTTGACGCGGATCCACCGGAAGTGGTTCATACTTCACGCGCGTTGTAAAGACTGTCACACTGCGGGTACTGTCTAAAATTATGTCGCGCCGCAAGGAGCTCCGGCGCGAGCTGCCCGCGTAGATCGAATTAAAGCCCCTTACCACCATCCCGCCCGGAGATATCGACGACCCGCGATATCATACCGCGTCTTCGAGATAAACAAGCATTATGAATAATCGATCGCGAGGTGGAGAGCCGGTCATGCCGGTTCGTCTCGCGGCCGATACGCGCCCGGCAACGGGGCAACGAGGAGCCGGGGAACAAAAAGAAGTGCCGCTGCACTCCTTAATGGAATTTTAAAAGAGAGACGCGCGGAATCTCCGACGACAAACGGAGAGGCGGCCGATGGATACATAAATTATGGAGCGCTTTGAACGGGATTCGCGCTCGCCCCGCACGGGATCATCATCGCAACAGGAGAAAAAGAAGAGGGACCGAGAGGGACAGAGAGAGAGGGAGGGGGGGGGGCAGTGAATTGCGAGAATCTAGGGCAACCGGAAGCGGTATTTTCGTGGCGCCGCTTTTCGAGTGTAGCGGAGGAGATGATCACGGGTACATCGCGTCGCACGAAGCGGCCGTCTCCTCGTGAGTCGTCCGTCCCGTCTTTCATTGCGGGCCATGCCAGCGCGATGGCGATCGCGATGATGCACAACGTGAAGATCGACGGCACTGATAAAACCGAGGGGGAATCGTTACTGGATTTAACGTATAAGAGTCTCCGGTTTAATTTTGACACATTGCCCCCCCCCCCCCGATTCATTTCAAGCGCCTTCTTCCCTGAAACACTCGTCGACAGTTCGCGTCAATAACCTCGTGGGTTATTGTAAAATTGTGTATTTAATTAAACCATGTAGAGAGAGGGTTGCCACCATCTCT